TTTTGCCATTTCCATCTCTCTTCTTCCCTTTTTATAGATGACTGTCATATGAAAACTTTAGGGTTTATTTTTTTTAAGCTGTTTTCAATTGGTGAGTGTGCTATGCCTAATAGCATCTCTGAAATGTCCTGTTTGGCTGTAGCCATTTCTGTTAATTATTATAAAAAGCTTTCTAAAATAGATACAGCAAATTATACCTAATTGTTTATCCCCTGCTTGGTGGATTGCTTTCAGCCTAAAGGAGATTCCTGCCTTACTTGCTTCCTGTTAAAGGTGCACTTCTGAGCAACCAGTTGGGACTCCTGGGGAGATATGACCTTTGTCAGTGAGACTTCTTTCATTGTCAGCAGCCTTTCATCTGTTTGAGAAAATCATAGCTGTGTTCAGTCAACAATGTAGAAAATAAGTGGAAGAATTCAAGTGTGGAAGAATATTGTGGGAAAATAACTCTTTTATGGATGAAATAAATATCTTAAGTAAAATATAGGAAAACATCCATTCTAAAAGACAATATTTTATTTAAGTCTGATGAATAATTCTTTTTAGTTGTTACAGGCACTTAGCATTAAAACTTGACCCAAAATCAGACTGTCGTTCTCAATTTGGATTTATTGTGTATCTGAGGAAGACAGTGGAGTTAATCTGATGCTCTTGGTGTCATTATCACTTTGGCCCTTGTGTAATAACAGTTTACTGCGAAATAATTGATCAAAAAATAGCATTTAGCTTTCTTTTTTTTCAACTTGAACTTGAGCCTGAATAGCAGCATTACTTTTAAAATATATTTTGTAAATTTTATTAAAATGAAACAAGCTAAATTCTAAGTGAATGTTTTGAAGAGATAGTATCCTAATGAATGTTTACATATTAATGGAGCATTACTATAATGCAACTAGTAGATAAGTATTTCATTTTTCCTTTGTTAAAAAGGTGATTACTGTTAAATGACTAGTAAAAACATGGTTAGTGAAAAGGAAGGTGTAAATGAATGTAGAAACAATTAAAAAGTGAACTTTTAAAAATAATTACCAGGTATTATTCAAAGATGAAATGTAATTTACTGTCTTACCCTTAAACCATTGCTTTTATTTGTATTATACATGCATATTTGATTATTAAAATTTTATAACATAAAATTTTGACAGTGTTTATGATTTAAAACTAACCAATTTAAAAATAATTAAAGTTTTTACCCTAGGACATTCCTACAATGTTCCATATCATATTGTCACTTTCGTACACCGCATAGCCTACACTGCATAGCCTACTCTCAGCTCCACTATTTTTGTGTTTAAGAAAGCAGACAACCTTCCTGCCTTCTTCCTAAGCTCTCTCTACTGCTCCCAGTAGCATAACAAAAGATCTCTTTAGAAACAGCATCTCAAACAACTCTCCTGTGTAACACATTTATAAGACCTAATTAAAACAAATTGAGAGGATTTGGATTATTTTATTTAACAGTTTAGAAAATTTCTTTAAATTTTCACAGATATTTGCAGAATCCCTCACTTTTCACCTTTATTTTCTGCCTCTTCTGGAAGATTGCGTTAAGAAACCTTATTATACCTAAGATAATGTTGAGTGCTGGAGTGTACCACTGTGAACAAAACATCAGGGCTCTCTGGTTCTCTGCAGCTTTTATTTTGGA